ACATGAGACACCATGTCCGCTGAAAAGACCGAGGAACAGTGAAGTCTAATTTTTGTGAACATAATCCTGGTGATTTGCACCAATGTGAGAAAAAGAGTGGCCCATTCGGGAATGACTTGCGCTCCCTGGAATCTTGGTATGTTTTGGGTGTTGGAAAGGACGAGCGCGGGAGGCTGCAGTTGCGAACTGTCAAGATGTTTGGTCTTTCTTCCTTCCCAAGACTTGTCTTTCCATCCAGCCTGTCTGGCACGGCCCTGAAGCAACAACAAAGCCTCAGTCTCGCCACGCAGAAACACCCTAGCCCTGTACGTCGCTTTCTGAACCCCATAGAAGCCGGTAGTCGAGCCTGCACCGAAACACCCTGGAGCGAACGCTGCCCTTGTCTAACGTCGCTTTCTGGGGAGGGGGTGCCAGACGGCAGCTTCGAAAGCTGGCCCGTATGTTGCTTTGCGCGCAAATGTCGCCGGAGAAGGTGCCAGACGACAGCTGCCACACCCAGTAAAAACAAGGTGGGAAAAGGCCTGAAGGCAATCGCCCATGTTCTGCTGCGTGCAAATGCCACAGCCAGAGGCGTTGAATGGACAAGGCGAACGTTGCGCCCTGCGGTGCCCCAGGCGCTAGGCACGGCTAAGCCAGGGTCGGCGGATTAAAGGGTGCCCTTGCCGTCCCTTTTCCTTTATTTTTCAATGTATCCATGGTGTAGCGGTGTGACAATTGGCCCTGAACCACTCAGGACGTTGCTGATGACCTCGGACTCTAACTTCTGCGACAAGAGGTTCGAGGAATTGTTGGTGGAGGATGAGCGCGAACGTTTTCGAAGTCTCCAAGCGATAAATTTCAGTCTTTTTTGTTAAGTCACAAATATGTCGTTGTGCCGATTTGTCAGGTCTAGAGTCTAGATGTTGGTTTCGCCTGTTTTGTCAGTTTTTTTTGCATAGGTAGTAGTTTCAGCGCCAATCAATGCTCACCCAAACGACCAAGTCAGCCATTAAGAACTGTTTGTGCGTCCGGGTGGGTGCCATCGCCTGTTGGAATATTAAGTTATTTTCCAACTGCGGCATTTTTGCTGAGGTCGGTAGAGCGGGTCGGTAGAGCGAAAACCATGTTTTTTGTTCCACAGTGTGTGGTCCAGTTGACTTGTTGAGGACCAGTCTCAGAAGATTCAGCATGTTGAAACATAATTGACAGATTTGGGCCATGCATGCCAATTTGTTTGCCCAAAGGCTTCATGTCGGAGCAATCAAATGCCTCTGGCCTCAGCGCTCCTCCATGCTTGCGAGTGTCGTTGAAGCTCGGGCGCAGCCCAATGGGCCCAATCCACCAACGACCCCCCAAAAGCGTGACTGTGGAAAGCAGATGAAGGCAGGATAATCCGGGAAAGGGAGTAGCAGCACAAAGATCAGCCGCAACGTGTCCTAGATGATGGTTTGTTCAAGGGGTGTGGTCCCTTGCAGCTCGAGCAAAAAGGCATGGTTTCGGCACGAACACCAGAAATAGGCAATGTTAGCTTCCCAACTCACCATTAAACTTGTAGTTACTACTGGCGAACCCCTCACCACCCCTGAGAGCGGAAACAAGCAGAATCTGCATTCACTTTAAAACAGGAGGTGCTTGGGCCCCTGGGCCGTTTAACATTGTTAAGGGGACCCACACACCTTCTTTTTAACCTTTTCAGTTTTTTCTATAAGGATTATATACCGTAGTTGTGCTTTGTTTGCAGCAGATCCCATGCTTCCTATTTGTTTGTGGGTCCACTTCTGCGCCGTGCCCAGGAAACGTCCACCCAGGAAGCGTTCAACAGGGTCAACCTCCATGTTCCCGCCGGTTGGGGTCGATCTCTTCCATGTGCCGCACATGTTGGGTGAAGAGACTTATCACTTGCTCGCACTCCGAGAAGATTCCGACTCAAGATCTCCACTGGAGGCCCCTTGAGAAACTATCAGACTGGAGGGATCAAGGATGATCAAGGATGGGGGATAAAATCCATATTCACATGAGGATGGGTCAATACCAAATGCCTCCCAAATGTGGTAGGTTCACATTTGCTGCAATGATTTGCTCATTCTGGGGAACCCGTGTCCTTGGATTTGACCAATAGCCGTAGCCACACTGCACCAGGCCACACTACCAGGCCGACTGTCATTTTCAGCAGACTTGTAGAGCCCGCACTTATTACATATACTTCTTCTATTCCTCATGAGAACTCTATATACAGATGGTGACCCATGGTGGTCAGTTGAGGGGATGAGCATGAAAACTTGAGCACGCTGCTCAGATTTGCTCGGAGACCCTACTTGCAGTCAGAAGATACAAAATGCCAAGGTCGTTGGGGCTGATGGAGAATTGGCTCCTGCCCACACTGCAGATTCCGAAAAGAGAAGATTGAGGACACGACTGACGGCCTCGAGAACAGTTCTACAGAGGTTTAACGGTCGGAATGCTGCAGTCCTTCAAGGCCTGCAAGTTCCTTATATATGCAACACCTGCACTACTGCTTGGGCCCTTGCATTTGGGTGTGTACTCAAAAGGATCCAAAAGCAGAGAACCTCCACCAATGGCTTTCAGTCGTCTTGGGTTGACTGTTTGTTCTAATGCACGCCCGTGTGTTGCTCTTTGTTGCTGTCTACCAATTGTGTTTCGTTGCTGAGAACATGACATGACAGGGCCATACCGAAGATGGTTTTCATGTTTTCCTGACAGGCACCTCAGGACATACGGTCTACAAGGGTAGCGGAGACCCTGTGTGGCATCTCTTGTTTGTGATCATCGATAGTCAGTTTACAGAGATTCCAACAGTTCTACAGTGGGTGTTTCTTGGTGTCATGGATGCCAGCGAGGAGCATGCCACTCTCTGATTCTTCTGTCTCGCAGGTCCGTGCTGGGCAGCGGATACTCAAGTCAGACATGTTTTTAGCTGGACTCCGTCTCCAATTCACAAAGCTGATAGATGTTGGACACCGACTTGCATGACAAAATGAGACGCGACTCGAGTACAGTTCATGGCTATGGTCAGCCAGCTGCAGGTCTCTGCAAACTCTCTTCTGCAGATTTGCAAGGAGGTGGAGGAGATGACTTTGCTGGTGCCCACAGCTTTTTACTGATGAGATATCTTTGCTTTGAACGTGCCATAACATGGCACTTTCATGCACTTATAGAGAGTCATGCACTTCAGTTTGGGTGGCATGCCATAGGTACCTGCACAACGTTTGCACAATATATATATATATATACATTTGTTCGTCACTGTTGTCCAAATGTATCCCTGTAGCCTTTGACTGAAACGCCCGCAATCTCCTTTGGTCCAGACATCTTCCCCGACCTCCAGGTGGATGCGACCACACCGTTGCTGGATGTGGAACAGGCTCACTTGAGCTTTCTTCGTCGACCTGATAGCGACGAAAGCTCCATGCCCAGTTTGCGACGCCTCGTTCAACCCACAGATGCTGGGATCTGCGAGTGGTGGAGCTGACCCGGTCTGGACCAAGCGATTGGATGACCAAGTGTAGGCCTTTTCCCAATATTGTTGTATCTCCAAGAATGGGATGAATCTCCTCACACTTATCACTCATATGCCATGTTTGCGGTTGTGTCCGGACGTTGATATGCTACCTATTCTATTACAGTACATTTACATGTCTATTCTGACATGTACCCATGCGCCGATTTTCTGGTTATTTGACCCACCTTGATTTGCCACATTTAAGGATTGGGGCACTGTTCGTGCCCAGCTCTTGAGTTTCGCTGGGGCAGCACGACACCAGGGCGCTCTCCAAATGAAGCTGCCTAACTGAGAGAGAGGGAGAGAGAAAAGACATGTATATAAACAGGAACTCATTTTTGGGGATTGCTGTGGGGCCCAAGGCTTGACCTACTGCCCATACCATTTGGGTACACCACCATGCTTTGCCTTTATAACTGCGGGCGAGTCATGTGCGATTCAAAGAATGGTTCGGAACAAAAAGCTCCATTATTGAAATACTCATGTTGACACAAGGGAACTTTGGAATTATGGGATCGTTTCGTGCCGTATGACGCGGGCCCATACTTCAGACCCACACAGGGGATCCCAATTTTGTAGAAACTAGCGATGGCCTCCAACCAGCAATGGCCTCCAACCTACTAGTGTTTGAAAGTGCCCCAGATACTAGGTGCATTTCTTGCCGCGCCAAGGGAATCCACCGGCTGAACTCAGGTTGATGTTGCAGGATGATTGCAAGAGACGCCTTGAAGCACGCCGAGTACAGGTCTCTGCATTCCTTCCACCCAATGGCAACAAGTGTCCAGAGATGTGCAGCAAACTGTGCATGAAACTGGAGAACTTCAAAGCATTGACGCCTGTACCAAAGCAAAAGTCCCTCGGCTGTGCTTCTGATTTGTGGGATACGGGTATTTTGATGGTAAAACTCTGGGTACTTTGGATGTTGCGCCGGCCCAGGTGGGAGTTGCAAGGTCTGAATGAATGCCAATCTGAAGATTCTGACCAGAGTTGACAAGTTGACAGTAGATGATCAACAATTCGAGAATCAAAGATTCTCCCAGGTCGATTGTAATGAAGTTACCCGAAAAAGGATTCATTGTTTGGCCACTCGTTCTTTAACATAATACACATATCAAATTATTGCACTTGACAGAGTATATAATTCGAATTATATATAACGATCACGTAGTGCAGGATCGTAAGAGTGTAACCAGAATTTAACAACTTGCACGATTTCTGCAGCTTGTGGCTGATAGTGTTACATGTCACTTATTACCCGCTTGTTGAGACTGAAGCAGAGAGGATGAGGAAGGGTCCAAAGAAAGTAGACAGAGGAAAGGAAGAAAGAAGAGGAAACAGACGGAGACAAGAGAATGCCCAAACAAGAGGGCGAGATGACAGAAGGAGAGGAACCTGAACTGCCTGATCCAGGAAAGGTCCCCCCCCGTCAAAACTGAAGATTAGATAAGATTACGAGAGGACGAAGCTTTAGCAACGGAGGCTGGGACTAAGGATGAGGAAGAACAAAGGAAGAACCCCCGGAAGATCAATCCATTCAACATGAAGCACAACAGCCAGAGAATGAAGTAGGCCATCGAAGTGGCGCTTCTTGGCGCCTTGGCGTCCGAAGAATCGAATTGAAAGAGACCCTGCGCCTCTCACAGGTCCGAATTGCTAGGTGTCTTAGATGAGAAATCATAAAACGAAACAATGGATCCAAATCTTCGAGTGTTCGCTGATATTAGTGACTAACTCTGTGAATAGTGGCCTTAATGGTTCCTACGGTGGGCCGTATATATTTTGCTATATTATATTTATATTAAATATATTAATTTTAATTTCAATAATGAAATATATAACTAATTATTTTAGAAATAACATTATGATAATTTAATAAATTGAAAATATATAGAAATTTGTATATATATATATACAATTATATTCATATATTTATATGCTTGATAATAAATAACAATAAAATAAGAATTTGATATATTATATTCCGATAATTTATTTATTTAGTTTTATTTTTTAATTTATATTATTTAAATTAATAAACATAGATGGATTTATTTATCTTAAAATATTTCTTTTATTTTTATAATTGGGAAACGATACTATTTAATTATAATATAATATATATATATTTTATTTTTAGATATTTTGTTTTTTAATAAATTAACTATGATTGATATATAAAATTGATGTATTTCTTAATTGAATATATAATTATATTTATTTTTATATTTTATTATTATATTTATTTTTATTGTGTATTATATTTTTATTTATTTAAATTAATGTATAAATAAATAATAATTAATTATATATATTATTTTTTTATTTTAAATTTATTTAATGATTAATTTTTATATTATAGGATTTAATATTATTTTATAGATTAAATTTAATTTTGAAAAAAAAAAAATATCGATAATTTTATTGAAATATATAAAAAATTTTGATATTAATCGCATGGATTCTCGTATTGTGATTTTGGATTTCTAGGGTATAATTCTTATTATTAACAATGATTTTTAGAATTTTGATAGGTAGCATTGCTAATATTTGCAATTTCTTATTCCGATGATTTATTAATATGGGACAATACAATAGGATAATCGCATATTATATATTCTCGATATATCGAATATATATTGGAAATATACAAGACATAAATAGAATCTTTTGATCGTCAACGAATTTTAGCATCCACAAAGATGAACCGCGAAATACGTGAAATCTCGCGAGTAAGGGGACACAATATTATAATAAATATCTAATAATGGAGAGATCTAATTTGTAATAAATTATAATAAATAACGATTCTTTAAAATATTAACCTTTTAAAAGATATTCGTAATGGGGATAAGGTTACCGAATAGAATATACAAGAGTGGCGTCGAGGACAATTTAACATTCGCGTCCCCTCCGATGCCGTTAGCTCAAATTTTCTTTCCCATCCATATCACCTTTAATCCATAATTCCTCAATGATTCTTCCAACCGACGAAGTGCCGGAAGACCAATCAACCCACCTTGTATCGCTATGTCAATAATGCCCATAGATCCGTTAGTGGTAATTCCAATAAAGGGATATAACGATCTTGGTCTTCTAATTCTTATCTTGGCTAAATATTGACCCAGGGTGATCTAAAAGACAGAATATTCATCATCGGAATTGGTATCATCGGAAGACGTGCGGTTTTTCCGCTCTGCGCCTATTTCGTTAATATATTCACGAATCCAATGCGCGATTTAACCACATCTCGCGCATTTCGTACGAAACTTCAACACATCGATATATATATATATATATCCGGATACCTTTTCCGCCGTTAATTACCAATCTTAGAATCCTTTCCAAATCGTCCAACAATAGATTTACCCTCACCTTTCGGTTAATAATAATCGCATCCATTCCTCTATTTCCGAATTGCTTGGTGCATCTACTAATAAATAACAAAAATTTAAATCAATTCTTCATCTTAAATTATCTAATTAATCTTTTTTTTATCCAAATAAATATACTTATTATCATCTTTAATAAATTCATATATTTGCAAATTCCGCATTCTCATTAAACCTTCTCCATTCTTTCTATTCTCTGCCGGCTGAGTGCTCTCAACCCGTGTTGGGCTTGCAATCATCGAACGATCGGCTGCTTCGCGAGCAGCTGCCTGGGCGGCATCATGCGGGTCGAATCGGAATGAAAGGATTCCGAGGCTCAACAATCTTTCCGAAGGCTGGTGACAGGTCGGATTTGGCGACAATCCAAAATAGATATGCATCAATCTCCATCTCAGGAAGGTGGGGATTCGCGACAGGAATCCTATGAGCATCTGTCAAAAAGCGGCTTCCGCCTGTGTGCAAAATTCCTTGATAATGCCCGCAAGAGGGAAGATCACCTCGGTGAAGGACGGTTGCCACGATCGTGAACTCCAACCAGCGTGTGGTGCAACCAATGGCATGGACAAACATCGGGAGAAGATTTTTTGTCTATTTCATTGCACTTGGGACTTGGATCGAACTCCCATGGTGGGAAAGCGATCCACCTGCAAACAAACATTGGTGATCCATTGAGTCAATCCATATCGGAAAGGGGGCTGGTTCGACCAAAATTCAATCAATTCTTGCAAATTGCTGCAATGTGACTTTTCTTGCCGCAAGACGATCGGTGCAAAAGTCAAACCCAAGTCCTCAACGGATTACTCTAGTCTGGCTTCCCATCGAGACGCACTGGTCAAATCTTGATTGACTCCATGGTGGAGGGCTTGTCTCAACCAACCCGCGAACTCAGCAGCGTCTTGCTGCTCACCCCTTTCGTGAACCGCAAATCAAGGAGCAAGGCATGTTCCCAACACAATTTGGTCCGTGAGCCATTGCACATTCGAATCCTGGCAAAGGACCCTCTGTAAGGGTATGATCCAACTATCCAAGGCTTGCCACCCAAAATTGCTGTCCATGCAGCAACCCTATAGCTCAGCCAGTACGACCGAATTGACATTTAACAATCGCTGTCCTCATTGCCAAGAACCATCTGCAGAAGCGCATGCCTCATCGTTTCAGGCATTGGGCCACTGCTTGTGCCAGAGGTGACCTCTGAAGAGTCGAAGGTCTCAATCTGAGGAGGATTAATTGCGTCAATCCGTTGGCTGTCAGCTTGGTCAACAGATCGAAGATCTCCTGAGAGGCTGGGCTGCGAAGTGAAAGGTCCAATCTCCACGAAATCACTATTGTCGTCTGCTTGACCAACAGGTCGGCCTGAAGCGGTTTCAAAGCCGAGAACCGATGGATCAAGTCCGGCTGTCCACCTAGTTGGTGAATCCTTTGAATCATCCTTGAAGCCTCTTCGGATGAGATTGGTTCCTTTGAGGTGGGCTTTAGGGTCTTCTCGTGATGGTCCCAATGAAGGTAGTTCTAACTGTTCGAAGGGGTCAGTTGTTTCGAGCGAAGGGCCACAATCAATTCGTTGTCGTTTGAACCGAGCGGGAGTTGTGAGGCCCGATTGGCCAGCTCTTCGAACGCCGCCTGAAACATCAGCTGTCGGAGTGGACCTGTAACCTGGCTTTTCTCCCTTTGACCATGCCAATCTTTGGATAGCTGAAGGAATTTGGGCAATATTGAGCCCTTATCAGCCTGAATGAAGAAAAGAAACGTTCTGTCCAAATTCATCTGGTTGATCTGGTCTTCCTGCCGTAAGATCAATTTGGCCAATATGACAGCAAGGAGCTGTCGTCTGCCGAGCCCGAACCCAAGGAGCGCGAATGCTTCTTCACTCCTGGCCGTGGACGGTGCCGGTCGGATGACCAATCCTCCTCTTCTGTTCATGGCCGTGGCCGTTTGAAGTGCCCTGAACAAGCCTCCATGAGGTCTGCAAACGATTGATTTTCTTCCTTCATGGTATCCATCAATCCATGTGTTTTGTATAAGTGGAACCAATCTTGGGCCAGCGTGTGCTCTAGCTCAAAAAATAACATCTCGAAGCTCATGAGTTGCAAGGCCGGTGAATCATGAAACTGCAATCGTTCAAAATGAAGCAATTCGGTCTAATCTGAGGTCCAAGCCCAATAGATAGGGTGCACCGTGGCGCACGCAATCAAGAGCCGGAAATGCGGTGTATTTGGCAAAATAATCTGAGGCAAATGATGGATGTGAGCAAGAGGCCAGTTAAAGGTGGTGTACCATCTCAATCGAAGCTCAGGCCAAAAGACCGGAGTATCAGACAAGGACAAAGTTGTGCTCTGATAAAAAAAACATGTTAGCCACCATGGTCGGGTGCCATGCTGGTGCTTCCAGCGGAATGCAGAGACCCAGAGGGTCCCCAGTTCGTGGCTGAATCAACGGAGGCCTCCATTGCAGATCGGGTTCACAAGGGGGCATCTGTTCATTGGTCACTGACTGATCCGGTTGTGGATTCGAGTTCAAGGGAGTACTACCAGTTCCAAAATGCTGATCTTGGACCCATTCAACGAATAAAGCCGGGCACGTGGCACGTTGGTAATGAAGTCGA